CATTGTTCGTCGAAAACGGCCCGTTAATGATGCTGAGCGTCAGGATCGGGTAAAACCCCTATAGGATGTATGGTCAATTAGAAACCTTTCATGTTCAAATGGACGTTCTGCTCACAGAAACCGAGATGTACACGCTTTGAAATACACAGTTCGCGACAAGCGTGACGTCTTGGACGTGCAGGGGGGTTGGGATCAGCGGTAGGATCGCCCTTACCAGCTGCACATTCCGATGTGTGTAGATCGGTAGTTCGTAAGGAGTTGGAGTAGATGGTGACCCACCTGCAGAATCCCATAGACGATCCCAGACTCCAATAAAATCACCAAGATATGCCATGTCTTAAACATGTGTCGGTGTTTTCCAAGCGTTCTTAGAAACCTTAGGTTTTTCCTAATGACGTCTGAGGTTAGCAAAGCCTCGGAGGGAAAATAACCCTTACCAAAGAATATACCCAATGAGCCCCGTCGCAAGCATATTCGTCGCGAACGACAGAAGCGCGGAGGCGGTATTGAGGATCTTGTAGGCCATGTCAAATCCTTCTGCCACCGCTGTAAATTCAGGATTCGAGGAATCGAAGATGAGCACGGCGAGCGTGGTGGCTGACATACAGTAACAGAGCGTGGGGTTCTTGAGCACAACGTAACAAGGGACAGGGGATAGTGGCGTACCGGCAGAAGTTATCCACAATGCATTGCAAATGTACAATGCCCATCTTTTCGATCCCGAAATGGTCCACGCGCGCCATATGATGATGCCGTCATTAAGTACGGGCTGCCAGTGAACAAAACAGCGAGTGTGAGTCCCAGAATAGTGAGCAGTGGAGAAGCGCTTCCTTACCGGAAGCAAATTCAGCCAAAACATGACCAGATTCCACTTGACGAGACGCTTATTGACAAGCCGTGAGCTGGCCAAGAGTCCGATGGTACTCGTGATCTTGAAGGTGTCCAGCATCATGAACATCGCCCAGAGGTATACGCTGATGGACATTGTTAGGGATATGAAACTATATGACGCCACTCCAATCAGTGTCCAGGAGAGGAACGATTTTTGAGGTTTCCTGCAGCGTAGTCAGTTGAACATAGGAAGTGGGAGACTCGAAAAGGTGGTATGGTAAGGCGTACTTGATAAGACTGGTGATAGTGATGACGGACAGTGGCGCAAAGATTCCTTTGGGCGACGGTACATCAGTGAGCCTGAGTGAAGTAGACGGAACCAGGGTACATTCTCACCGTAGCAGAGAAGGAGCGGGCCCAGCGTCGAGAATATATCGCTGATGAGGAAAGAGTGGCCATAACGTTGAAGTATACGCCGCTCTTGGGGTGTCATCGTGCGCCGAGGTAGTTTAAATCAGTAATTCAGTGGGATTGAGCTTGCTACTTCTTGCAACCTTTCGATTTTTATATTGACAGCACGCCTCATGATCCTATCACGACTACAGCTTGCTTCTCAGCTGAACAGGCAAAGAAGAGGACTTTCTCCTCGACAAAGTGACGTCCCAGGGGTTTGACGTGCGGTGTTGGAGGCCGTGCCAGAGAATCATTTAGTCATCAGTAGGCTTCGTGATCAGTAATTGCTTCTTGAAGCTAGTGGAACAGCAAGGCCAGCCCCGTTGGCGACGGAACACACTAGAAAAACAGGTTTGTTAAGGCATTCTTGGGTGGTGAAGTATCCCATACCTTGCTACGGTTGGCTTCCAGGGTCAGGTCTACTTCAGCCAATCGGATTGCAGCAGGACGTGACCTTCTGAGCTGTGTCCGAGGTCCTGGAACCCTGTGACAGTATCTTCGACTTCTTCCGCCTGCGGGATAGGTACAAGCTATGTTATACGAGTGGTTCCGCATACATTTTCGGTTCTTCGAGGTGATGTGTATGTTCTGGAAAAATATCAGTATGTTCTTCAGTGAAAAACATGAGAAGGTGATATATCCCACACTTTTTTAGGCCCTCCGTGTGTCTACAAATTTGAAGACGACACCTTATTGATTATCACTCATCTCTGGCTCTCAAATTTCGTCCCAGACTGATATGTCTACGTTTTCATGAAAATGTCTTATGAGTCCGTAGTCTGAGAAAAAGTTAAAAATGTAATAAATAGTCCCCTGTGTAGTTCTGAAGCCCCCAACATGCAGACAAGTAAATCAACGCCATATATCATGCAAGTCCACGTTCAACCTATACATTCTGTCAGATTGTGTCGCATCACTATATTCGGAATCCTCCGCAATCCAAGTCGTGACATAAAGCGGGTCGACTCATCTGAGTCCAATTTCCATCTCATATGCTACTGTATTTGATATGTACATATAGCACGGGGTCACTTATGCCTTTGACTGTTCGGGAGAGCCACATACTATACTCAGTATGTCCTATGTACAGGAAAGCTCAGAAATCTCCTCAAAAAGGAAACATATATGTAAGAGACTTCTCAAATCTTATGTCAATTCGGACTAGATATGTCGTTGTATACCTATCAGAAGCTGAAAATACGTAGGTGTGACAGACGCGGATATGACCAAGAGTCGAAGGAGGACCCCATCAGCTTCAAATGGACAAATGGAAGCGTGAAGTAGACCTGACCCTGGAGGCCAACCGTACTTGCGCCCTCACTTCATCCACGCCACGTTACCTTCAAAATCTCACGCTTCAAGTTGAGTCGGTGATACTGAAATGATCAAGACGGGCTGACCGTCTCTGTGGAGCTGCATCATATCTCTTATCAGCTTCCGCTGTCATCGAAACACGTTTGAAGAGATGCCTTCTAAAAGAAGGCAAACATCGGAGAGTTGTCAATAGCGAAAGTATGCAGAGGTGCCCGATTGACAGCTCCGCAGGTTATCATTATCATACAACTCGGCGACACCTTCTACCAGACGTTAGCGCACACTTGTGCTTCCTAGAAGTCTTATTTGTCCATGTTGCCAGCACTTTCATGAAATACCAATCAGCGATGGTCATCCAAAGGTCGATGATGATGCAGGTACTTACAAGTGGGAACCAAGCATTGGGGCGATCCAGGGGCATGCTACATCTTTTATCGAACCGAGGAGCAGGTTGGATATTGCTGTGCTTCTGGGTGAATGGTGCAGACGGCGTGGACATCCGTAGATGGAGATGACGAGGTCATGTAAGTGATGTGGAGTCCTGGAAGTGAAGAAACAACGACAAACCGATAATTCCTTCACCAAAAGTGGATATACGATCTACAGAGGGTAAGTATGTACAGCATCCTGGCGAGTTATAACAGATACTTATGATCTATGCACAGCCGACAGGCATAAGGAAAGAACAACAGCCATGCTCCCACCATACGCCAGAACCGTAGCATCCTCTGCGTCTCCGAATACTTCGTCGGCTTATCGGGAAGCCCCCGATAAATTGCCAACACAAGCACATGCAGCACGCAGAGCAAACAAAGCTGGATCTGGCTGCTTCAATTCCTTACCGGCAGCCTTGGCATCAGTTGAAGCGGATCGACAGTGAAGGTGATCCGTGGTGGGGTGGCCATTACAAACATACTAGCCAACGCCTCGATCGTGCAAACATCATAGGTGTTTCCTGAACATAACGTGAGTGAAGAGAAATAAGGTACTCAATGATATCGGACATACTTGTCCCGGGACCGGTGCAAACCACAATTCAAAGAGGTCGAACGAGGCGCATAGAGCGTATGCCATGTTGATCGCATTGTAAAGACGCTTCCGTACAGACCCATCGCTCGATCCTCCAAACCAAACCTACTGAGTATTGCGAAGATCATTGCAGAGTAATCCTGCACAGAGATCAGTGGGACAAGTGGCATTGAAGTGTTATGCTGACTTGATTGCCGTCTTGGGCACCCACCGGAAAGATGTGCGCAACCATAGTGTCCATTACGAAACTTCGACTTGAGGCACTGAAGCCGAAAGTGACCTCTGGTATAGTCAAATAAGACCGTTTATCATAGATTCCACTGATGGCACATCTATAACCATCGCGTAACAATGCCTATGAGTAGAAGATTGAACAGTATACTTATACGTCTAGGAAATCCGAAGCATACCTGCTTTCGAGCCTCCATCGATCACGTCTGGGTAACGGCTGCCCAGTCTTTCAGAATACGAACATTTATGGCTTCGAAGGATGGCCGCGAGATACATTGCGATTGAGGTGTGTGTTGGGCCCGTAAGAAGGGACTGGATGTTGTTCAGAATGCTGTATCGATAGTGTGGAAGAAACCGTGTACAAACTCACAAACCCTCAGAAGTACCCTGTGATACATCAAACCCAGGTTACAGAGGGCATTGTATATCGCTTAGTCGTTTGCCTGGCGAAGACACGATGTGGCTTCTGTAAGCAATTGAGTATATGGAGAGCCTGGGTAACTATGCCTATCTGAGAGGTCCTTGGGAAAGCAGCCTGAGGCACGAATACTGATAAGGTATTTGGGTGTGCGTAAGGGGTCCTTCGGGTGCGAGCTCAGACTAACACCTTGGGCATTCTGTCCTCAGTGCCTTGCTTCCTTCCAGACGCTAAGCTGCCCTTCATTGGGTCCGCAGTCTGCTATCAAAGGAAGAGGTCGTCCACCGGCCTCGCTGAGCAAGATAATAGAAGGAGGTAGTCAGGCAGTCATGGCGACTTGAGGGCCCAGCCACTGAGCCACCAACTCTCGCAACTTGAACGATTGAAAAAGTAGCCCGTAGAATGTTCACTGGCCGCCAGTGAACATTCTGTGAACGTTCAACTTGTTTGAACTTTGTCGTGTGTATGTGTCAGCACTACGTCATCACGTCCTCGCGATCGAACACTTGAATCAACTTGTGCGAAGCAGTCACTCACTATAACACGGCCTTCACCGCCGCCCTCTTCGCGACCGCACGCCCGTCAATCTCTGTGAACTGGGATACGTTTTCGTCATACCACGGCCTCTTTACGCACCTCTTACGAGCTGTCTGTGTGTGCCATGGATCGACATTCGTATTCGGCGTTTGCACAAGCACAGCCAAAAATGACTTGATACTGAACATGGGGGCACCGCGGATTGAACGCGGGACCTTCAGAATAATGTAATCAACTATAACTGATCAAGCTTTAAGGCTTCAGTCTGCTGCTCTCCCAACTGAGCTATGCCCCCATGACAGTTTTGATCGACAAGAGCGTAGAATGGCCAAGCCACTCTCACTGTCGCCAATGAGCGTCGTATCAAAACCGTGGCAGCGCTTTAACCAGATCATCAGTTTGCCGTTAAACCTCTTTGATTTTTTGCCATGCCCAACATTAGGCACCGCGATTTGTGCCACAAAAAAAATGCTTACGTTTACCTCCAGTCACACTGGGATATATCCGGAAAGCAAAGGAAATCCAGATGGTCAGCCTCACGCAGAACATAATAATAATGGAAATATGGTTCGCGTGGGGAATGAAAGACGTCGCATTTTGATAGTTGGGTGGCGTTTTTCAACCGAGGTTTAAAGGCCCAGTCGGTGAAGGAAAGAGCCGCAGCAGTCGATGGCCCTGCAATTCCTGTGCTGAATCAACCTCGTTAACGATTTCCGCCCCCAAAGCAAACTGTGAGCACTGAATATATCCGAGCATGATCCAAGCCGGAGGCTCAGCAGCAGGCACACTCATGTACTTTCGGACGAAAATCTTATTGGGCGAAAGCAAGCAATCATGTCTCATGCATATGCAACGTAATCGCAAAATCCAGTCGCGCAAAACGACATTGGCTACTTTTATCTATCACGCCTTCTGGGCAGTGGTTTTCGCTTTCTATGAGTCCTTCGTCGACTTCGCAGGGTGGCCCGACGATTGCCCATGGCTCAATTTTGGGAGGGGGACTGGCGCTGTCAGCGTACTCAGCGACTTGTACGGATTCTGAGCTTGTCCAGACGCCATATTGATCGGCCTTCCATCGCCCATCCTCGGCTTCCCATCCGAACCCAAAGTTAGCTGGTATGCTTGAACCGTCTTTATATTCCCATTCTTCGTGATCGCCGGCCATTCATAATCGCTCCAAATACTTCTTCTGAGCTCACCAGTGGGCGGTTGATAGTATACGAAGATGAGATTCTTGGAAGTTGGCTTGACATGGTGTGCAAAAGCTTGGGACACAACCGTCCAGTCTGTCGCCGGCTTCCATGATTGGCTTGCTCCTTCAAAATTGGCCTCCTTGATTACCTGGAAAATGGTCACTCCTCCAGTTGGCCCAAATAGCGGGCTTGTCAATACGACGTTCTTCGCGTAGTCTTCAGCCTTTTGGAATTTGTCTGCCTTGTCCTGAATTTTGCCGCTCCAGAATATCGGAGTTTTGGAAAGTAACGGGTGGTTGGGATTATCGTTGAGCCATTGAATAAAACCTGCTGCGCTCTCTCTGTTAATCGAACTTTTCATTAGTTGATTGTATGGTGAAGAACAGATTGGGACATACGAAGGTTCGGCAGTTTTCACCGTCGCAACGGGCGCTGCTTGGGTCTCCGTGGTTGCGAACCATAGAATACATAGCAAGGAACAAAACACAGACGACGACAAGTGCATGCGTGGCGTGAGGAAGAAGGCGGAAACTAGCCAACCAATAGTTCAATACAAGTACCGTCGTACAGAGAAATAGATTTAACCTTTATGTATAGAGGATGTTTAATGATCAACAAGATCGTTGAGGGCTCGACCTGTGAGATTGATTCCACTCAGTACTGGATCGGCGTGCAAAATATTTTGACATACCAGCGAAAACGGTTGGAATGAAATAAATCGACCTGGAAAATTGGTAGCGATCGTCAGATGTAGAAGACATGAAGTAGCATCATGGAATGCGCGGACCTGCGATTCTTTGGACGTATTCGAACGTAGGGAGCTGAAGCCACATAGAACTGCCCTTTATATGTTTCTGCATCGATATGTGATGGTTCCTCCCACCTCGCTAACGGCCCGCCCTGTAGCGGTAAATGATCTGGATTGATGATTGTGTGGGTGATTCCGACGGGCAACACCGGTTGTGGGTACACCTATGGTTTCGGGGTTTCAGCAAAAAACACAGAGACGTGGTACGGAAAAGATAAAATCACGGGCATTCTGGTTGACTGGAAAGCGAGGAAGAATCAAGAATGAATGACCGCTACTTACTTAGTTTGAATGCTGCAGAACAATATTCAAGGAATTGAGTACCATTTTATCATATTGATCCCTCCTCAGCCGGGGCAGAAGGAACAATTCAAAGTCCCTTCCTAGTGTTGAGCAAGAGCCCCAGTAAGTAGACAGACTCGCGCCCTGAGTGAACATGGATCTCGGAGGATCTTTCATCTCTTCTTGAGGTACAAAGATAAAAGTTCTAACCAACTTAACAAACTATACATTTGTAACGTGCGCTTTGCGAGTGATTAGTATGCAACCAGGCCACATGGCTGATACACGGAGAACAGCCTGTCGGGGATCAGTATCTGGCACACAAAAGGCACGGTGTACTGACAAATGAGCTTGTACACAAGAAGCACGGCCAGACGCGGTTTAACTTACCATCATGAATTATCTAGCATGCAACTAGGCCACATGGCTGCTACAAGCAGAAAAGCCTTTCGGGGATGTCTGGCACGCGAGGGGTGGTACAACGTCCAATTGAAGTACAAGAAACGCGGCCAGACACGGTCTAAGTTCAAGGGTGTACTGCGATGATTCAATCATATCATGACAGATCATGACACTATCATGACTACACAATGTTACACAGCCTCAGCGCGGAGACGAATCGAACATTCCAGTTTTCTGATCCACTTTGAGGGGCACTGAAAGTGATAGCCGCTGGCTGTGCTTTCCACCCCAGAGCCCATACATAAGTAGCCTGATGTTTCTGACAATGTCTTCAACTTCAACGACATGCCTGCCGATGACAGTTTCACTAGCGGTGCGCCCTACCCACCCAAGTCGTACTTCTCACTACTAACGGAAGGCATAGAACCCACCGATAGTATCACTCCTAGTTATACACCATATGCGAGTAAGTATAGAAATACCGTAACTGACTCAGATCCAAAGGTCAGTCTTGGCAGAACCGGTTACTACGTTGACTCAACCTTCACTGCACAGATACTTGAAGACTGGGAGGTCAAGAACGATGGCACCCGATGGCTCGACCCTTCCTTCTTCAACCAGAAACTGGACCCGCCGTTCGCTTCCAACTATCCCCCAGTAGGATATACGGCGGAAGAAATCATGCAGTTCAAAAACGCGAAGGAATTGTTCAAATCGCTTGACGAGATTGAAGAATGGATAGCTATAGCGAGGCAACTGAAGCAGGATCCGAAATCACGGTAATATTTGTGTATCTTGGTTGTATACCTTGCTGACTCCTTCGCAGATCATGAGATAGTGGTAAATCACTAGCACAGATCAACGTATTTTAGCCTTTACATTTTTACGAATTTCTGGACCTGACTCACTACATCGGTATCTCGAACATGACCCTGTTAAGCTCTGTTGCCAGTAAGTGTGGAATGACGCTCTTTGTGATCAAGGGCGTTGTCCATTTCCCGATTCAGAAGCAGTGCGCCGTTTGATGTTCTGAAGGTCTACAACGTAACTCATCAAAGCAGTACCTTGATGTCACTCACCATTCCGGGAGCACTCTTTGGTGGGCAGGCGATGCCGATAACCCATATTCCGACTTGACTCAACAGCTCGAGTCGATCTGGTTCGCCCTACCGTCCGTGAAGCTCGACCCGCCCTACCCCCGCCCGGGTACACGAGAAACGGAGTCATGCTGTTGGGGACGCGTCTGTCCGAATCGCGTAAGGACATCGAAGAGTGGATAGGCACTGGGGAGTTGGAGAGCAGATTGTCGGGGCGCGTTGGCGCTGGACACCATGCCCTTACTTTCAGGCTTGCCTTACATCGCAAAAGTTAGAATCACCTAGGCCTCGGGTCAAAGGAACAATCTCCTTTGCGATACGGAGAAGGGCGGAAGGTGCCAATTCTCCTTCATCTTGCCACCAGAAAGGCTGTACACCAAAGTGTTTGTGCGAGGATGGCTAGCCTTACATATTGATAGTAGTCGTGGTGGAAGTCTTGGTAAAATCGCATGTCGACGGCACATACTCCTCTTACAGGCACAAAATCTAAGATTCGGAGATGGGGTGTAGATTGGGATTGGAGGAAAAATCAAAGTATCTGACTATTATCTGTGGTCAGGCAGACAGCAGGAAGTACCAGAAATCTAACCTCTGGGATTATCCCATGGCAATCTATTCATCAATCTCTTGAAGCGACTTCGACAATGATTCTGCGTTTTCAAACTGCATGATTTCTTCTGGGGAGGATAATTCGAACGAAAGGCGGGTCCAGTTTGTAGTTCCAGGAGGAAGGGTCGAGCCATCGGCTACCTTCGTTTTGCTTTCCCAGTTCTCCAGAATCTGTGCGACAAAAAATGAGCTTCGAGAGGAAAATTCCTGCTAAGAATTTCACATCTGGATCGGAGACAGTTATAACGATTCTATATTTGCTCGGAGCTATCTTCGAGGGAGTAAATTTGATAGCTTCTATCTCCAGAGTCCTTCGTCAATAGTATGAAGTATCGAGAAGAACAAGGTGACGGCTAGGGATGTTAGTGGCTGGTGTGTCGCTAAAATTGGCTCCGGTGAGCATTCCGAACAGAGGGCGTCGCACGGTTTTACTTACTACGTGAGTCCTTGGTTTGAAATTACTAAGTACCAGAGGCCATCATATTCACCCCTCAGGTGAGTCGGACGGGTACGACGATTGCCTTCGAGTGATAGCGTCAGACGTATTGTGGATATTGCAATCGTGTCCTTGCAGAAAGTATCTGTGAACGGTGGGAGGCAGTTTCTGGGGAGTTTGGGGGCGTAATGTGAGGGCGCGCCGTGGGCGACAGTCAAACGCGAGGTATGAAAGGACAGCAAAATCAAGACGGACGCGCGTACTCGCACTGGACCCCTTCGTTCGTTCATGAGTGGCGCGTACCACCTCAAATTGACGCTCCCGGCAGCATCGGCGACTATCGGCGAGCGCAGGGTTGAGTTAAGAAAGATGGACGAGCGCGTGTCACGCTGTGCGATACCTCAGATATACGAACCTCAGAAGGTCGATGCAGTGAAGAGTGCGGATTGAAGAAAGCGAGATAGATTG